TACAAATTATAAGCTAGTTCTTGTACTTCTTTACATTTATAAAAATTGAAAAGATCTAAAAATTCTTCTTGGTTACATCACTAGAGGCACCAAGAACAATAAAAGACAACTTCAAATTTCTAGCACAGCGTAAATAATTCTTAAAGATTAAAATTAGTTTTTTTTTTCTTAATGCACTAATAATTTAATCTCATCTTTTAAATCCTGTTAAAATGAATAAAATTTAACATAAATATCACTAAAATTGATTAGAAGCAGTCATAATAAAAATTTAAAACTTCTAAACCAAATATTCAATAATAGTAGAATATCAAGGCTAATTTTATTATATAGTTTTAAGACTTTTAGAATGATACTTATTTAAAACTTAGTTAGGAGAATCATAAGATTATTTTAAGAATAAATTAGAAACTTCTTATTTTACACCTTTACTATTATAAACTAGTTCTGAAGGGATATAATTGCAGGTGAATTAGAAATTTAGAATTAGGGTTAGAGTGTATGATTAAAATGGAAAAATAACTTAAGAAATATGGAGATGTTTTATTTTTAGTTTTAATTAAGTTAATGGAGTTATTATCTTGTAAAATAAGAAAAAAAAAATTTTAAATATTACAAAAAATATATTATATTATTTAATTAAGTTATTTTGTAATCGGATTTTATTTTATAATCGAGTAGTTCGAGCGGTTTAAAAGTAAAATCACAAACCAAACCAATTATATCGATTTTAAAATTTTATAATTCAAATCAACCCAATTTTATATCGATTTGGATCGATTTTTGATTGGATTGGATCAGTTTAAATCAGATTAATCGGATTGGATTGGATATGAACACTCTTGCTATGTAGCCTATATGGATGAGTATCTCTTTTTTTATTTTTTTTTCTCAAAGGCAATAATAGGGAGACAACTTAAAAACTAAAAAGAGAGGATAAAAAGATGTGTAGTATGAAAAATGAATATATATGTCAGGAAATCCAAAATTCATGAAAGCTTGATATGAGTAGTAGCTGAATACAAAATATAAAAAGAGCATAAGAACCTATAAAGATGTACAAATTAAATAAAGAAAAAAGAAAAAAAAAAAGAGGAATAATGTAAAAGGAAGTAATGAATGTAGGAAGCACTTCTACGATTTTGGAAGTAACATGTATCCATGATAACATAAGAGGTTTCTGTCAAAACGTACCATACAGGGATTTCAGCACAAGAGTCAACATCTGGCAGGATACAAGGATCACAAAGCTGTGACCATGACAGATATAGGAACAGTTTATTACTCACCTGAGACTCTTGTGCCAAACATTGCTCAAAACATTTTCGCTGGGCAATGTATAATTCATTTTAACATTTCAGATTTGATGAAGTGAAGTAGCATCGTATAGTAAATTGAAGAAGTTTACGTATTACATGATCAAGAACTGAGAACACAGCTAAACAATAATTGTCTAACATATCAGAGGTCACAAATATGACAGGCAGGCACCGCTCATTTGCTCCCAAAGCTATACATTGAAGCACACATACTGTTGAGTCATCCGTTAATACTGCATTCCGCAGAATTTCAACATTATTTATAATCAGCTTTGACTGCCCAACTGAAAACAAGCATCCATTAATAAACAGCAAAGAAAACAGAATAAGAAAAAAGAATTTCAAATACGTTTGCTTTGTGAATTTTTCCTGCAGCCTAACTTAGCCTATGTTTGGGTAAAAATTAGTAAAGGAAAGGAAGGGGAGGGGAGGGGAAGGAAAAGGTTGATTTTAGTTTTGTTTGGATAGACAAAAATGAAGAAAAGAAAAGAATAATGTTTTTATTTAATTAAATAATTTAATAAAAAATAAAATTTTTAAAATTTATTAGTTAAATAAATAATTGAAATAAAATGTTTATATATATATTTTAAAAAAAAATTTAAAAACAAAAATAAATTAAATAATACAATTCATTCCAACCCTTCCAAATTGAAAGAATTAAAAATAGAGTAGGGGAGAGACTCCATCTCTCTCGATCTCCCTCCATCTTCCCCTCCCTCCATTAAAATGATTTACCCAAACAAGCTCTCTCTCCCTCACTCTCCTCTCCTTCCCCTCTAACTTCCCCAATCCAAAGAAAGAGTTAGGGTGTGAATTGATAAGATTTACAAATCAAAACATGTAGCAAACCTATTTAAATGAACCTGACTTCATTATTGCCTCAAAAATGAAGCCTCTTCAATGGACCAATTCTTGCCCTTTTCTTCATATCCCAAAATTCCATCGATTTCCTTGACATTTGATCGAGCAGTTAGCGCAAAAACAGTGCGATCCCACAAAGTGGAGCTTGAGGCCTTATCAGAGACAATGGTCTTGGAAGATTTACTACTCTGTAGTATGCAACGAAGCGAAGTTAAGAGTCCGTGCCATTTTTTGAGGGCAGTGAAAATTTGGTAAGAGCTTATGGTGCCAAGCTTGACACCACACCTTTCTCCACCGTTGATTCGAGGCAATTCTCCAACTGGATTTTGCAGCTGGATAAAAGGGTGGCTCGTAGGTAAAGCAAGATGCCCAGGGAAATGATTGGTCGTTCTGCTGGTGGTACAGTGATCTTTGATTGATTGAGCGAAGGCTACATTGCCGGTGAGATGGGGACCTTTGTTCCATTCACCAAGAAGACTTGGGATATCAGAAGTGTAACTGCACCAAACCAGAAGTCCTTCTTCAGTCCGTATCTGCACTCTAGATTAACCTGCAGAGCCCCGAGGTGGATCCTCGGGGTAGACACTCCGATGCTTAAGTTAGCAATAATCGAGGCTACCTTTAAAGCGTAGACACAAGGAGCTTAGGGTTGGTTTCAATTACCTTTTGGCGTGGCCCTTAAGAGGTATTTATATGTTCCGATGCAGAATCCACGCGGCATGCCAATCAAGATGCCAAGCAAGATATCCGGGATCCGATGTGTATCTCCAGGCAGTTATTTCGGGACCGGGAGATTGAGCTAAGCAAAATATCTGGGATGTGATATGTATCTCCAAGCAGTTATTTCAGGACCGGGAGATTGAGATATATCTAGATACAAGGATGTCCATCGTAACTGCCGTGTAGCTATTCTAACGGGAAGCTCTGGACTTATCCTTACACTATTCCCCCCCCGGAAGTCATTCTCTTGTGAATGATGTTGGTGGAAGTAATAGGGGCAGTGCATAAAGAGAAAGAAAGAGAAATTAAGATGAGCTACGGAGATAAAAATCCATGACTTCTCCTGAATAAATGACCATAGTCGAAGTAAGATGAGTGACGCTGGGTTACTGTGGCCGTAGC